TGCCCACTGAAGGGGAACGGGGCAGAGTGCACGCTGACTGGGCCACGGCTCCACCTGCCCACTGAAGGGGAATGGGGCAGAGTGCACGCTGACTGGGCCACGGCTCCACCTGCCCACACTGAAGGGGAACGGGGCAGAGTGCACACTGGGCCACAGCTCCACCTGCCCACTGAAGGGGAACGGGGCAGAGTGCACACTGACTGGGCCACGGCTCCACCTGCCCACACCGAAGGGGAACGGGGCAGAGTGCACACTGACTGCCCCGTGGGCACACAGACAGGGAGGCCCACACCGTCCACCTCAACAGAACACACAACTTCGTTCTTTTAAAACAAATCCACTGCAAGGAAAGAAGAAAAGGAGCTGGAGGAGGACTTGTAGATTAAAAGACAATTCAACCAAACTGCAATGTAGAAGCCTTATTAGAATCCAGATTTGAACAAATCAACATTTTTTTTTTTTTTAATGAGATGACTTGGGGGAATCTGAGTATTAATTTGATATTTGATGACACCAAAGAAGTGTTGTGTTTTTTTTTTTCTTTTTGGTGAGAGTGGTACTGTGGTTTTTTGTTTTGTTTTTAAGTTATCTTTCAGAGCTATATACTGAAATATTTACAAATGATATGAAATCTAGCTATTTGCTTCAAGAAATATTTACGAAGGAAAAAGAAGCCATTGGATTGTACAGCAATAATACAGGAAGACAAGCTGAAAGGGTTTAGATAAAATATTGTTTAAATTTCAACTGTCTGGGCAAAAAGTGCTGAGCCTCCACAGGAACCCCGGGTTGAGGCCTTGCACACCTGTGTGGGAAGGGCAGAGAGCGCCCGCCTGCTGGTGTGCCCCGCGTGCACACGGACGTGCCCTCCAGGTCTGCCCTGGAACTTACGCCCTGGGAACAGGGCACTGCCCTTTCTCCTTTCCCAGCTACGGGGAGCCCAGCACGCGGGCAGGCACTCCGGCAGTCCCTAGCTAAATGGAGGTTTGTCTTCAAGCAGTAGAGAGAAAGGAGCGGCTGCAGGGGAAGACGGAAAGCCGCATCGGCACTGGCGTGGCCCTGTGAACAGATGTCACCTGTGTCAGCTCGTGGGCTTCTTCCTCGGAGATGAAGGGCTCGCTCATCTGCAGCTGGCTCTGCCCTCCTGGGCTCCCTGAGGGCTCGCGGGGCCTCACTCGGTCCATCAGCCCAGGTGCTGGAATGGAGAGGCAAACAGTCACACACTGACATCTTCTGGAAGACAGACGCAAGGAGCGCACAGGGAGTGACAGTTTAATGTTGTCACAGCTCTTTTTAGCCTAACAAAGTGTTTTCATGTATGTGTCAAGTGTTCTCACGTACGCGGCATTGGTCTATAGCCACTCTGACTTGCCTAGATGGGAGTGAGGCTGGTTATCGTCCCTGCAGCGAGGAGGGGGCCCGGGAGGTGGGTCAGCGTCCCCGCAGTGAGGAGGGGGCCCGGGAGGCGGGTCAGCGTCCCCGCAGCGAGGAGGGGGCCCGGGAGGCGGGTCGGCGTCCCCGCAGCGAGGAGGGGGCCCGGGAGGCGGGTCGGCGTCCCCGCAGCGAGGAGGGGGCCTGTCTGACTCCAGTAGCAGGCTCTTTTCTCACCCCACACTGACTGGCCCCCAGGTGTCTCAGAGGGTGCAGCACTGTCAATGCTCTAATTCTATAATCAGCTCTCAGAAGAAAAGCCCTTTCGCAAAGAGCCGTCAGTTTATTTTCCGAATCCCGATAAAACGTGCATAAAACACATCACAGGAAACTGCGGCCGCATGTGCGCTGGTCCGCAGAACGCTGAGGCTCCTGAGGCTGCAGGAGGCGGCCTCGCACGCAGAGGCCAGGGAAGCCACATGGATGAGTGGCGCTGCGGCGGGAGGTGAGTCGGAGGGCTGCAAGGCAGTCAGGCCTTCGCCCGGGGGGAGAACGGGGTGTTCTCAGGGCTTCCGTGCTGCCCATGAACCGTGGGCCCCCCCAGAACACCTGTGAGGTGGGTAATGTCCCCGCGGAGCAGAAGGGCACCTGGTGATAAACAGTGCACACAGCGCTCATGACGTGTGGCCCCGGGTGCCTCTTGTGGTGTGCCACCTGTCCTTTATTTGAAGAGCAACACTGGGCACCTCCTGGCTCAGATAAGGGCGTTGATTAAAGCCTACCATTTGCTTTGCTCCACAATAAAGAGCACTCTAGATACTCAGCAGTAGCCATGCTCATTTATTAGAATGCTGGAAAACAGAAGCAGAAAGTACTGTGCTGAGGTCCACAGTGTGGGCTCCAGCACCAGCTCCTCCAAGCAGACCCCTTTGGTTTCTGTAGGACGAGGGGGCTGGGGCAAATGACCTCAAGCATCCCTCCCAGGGTCCTTTAGGTCCTGAGTAAGCCTACATAAGAGGTCCAATTGCCAATGCCTTTTATCACAGCTGGATGAAATACAGCAGCTTGGAAACAGCTGTTAAACACACCATCAGAAAAGAAAAGGAAACATGTCTGGAGGTAAAGGCTGTCCTGGGCCTGCCGAGCACCTGACTGTCCAAACCTGTCTTCTCTAGGGAAGAGACCAGCCACCTCCAAACATGCATCCGGACACCAAAACTTCTTACAATAATTCTTAAACATCAGCGTTCCCTGAGGGCACATGACCGAGCACAGAAGGGATGGCCTGGTCCAGGATCACCGCAGGCTAGAATGGAGACAAGAGGCACACAGCCTGGGGATCCTGAAGAGGAAAGAGATGGAGCCGAGATGGAGAGACTTCTGGAGCCACAGTCAGCAGAGAGAGTTGGGTGGAAGGGAGATCCGAGCGTTCCAGCCTGCCTGGTTCTGCCAGGGCTAAGGGAGCCACTCTCACAGACCCTGTCTCCTCTGGGAAGGGGGGCTCTGTACTGCAGAAGGCTTCACACTTCTAAACTGGGACCCACTATGAGAAACATGTTTTACACGGAACCCCTACATCTTGGATGTCTGAAAACAACATCCTCAGTACATATCATGCACTCAGATGTTGTCGTTTCTATTCTAGTCTTAAAAAAAAAAAAAAAAAAAAAAAACGGGTTGCATAACCAAACTGATTTCTCAACCCACGTTGCAAAATACTAACGTTCTAGATAATCACCAAAGTCCCGTCCTACTCCACCAGCCTGAGAGCTTACTAACTAGCACTGTAACTCACAGTACAGCTTGGCCTTTAACAGTCCAAAATGCCATGACCTAAAATGTTAGATAATGAAAAGCGCTTTTCTGAAACTGTCAGCAGTAGAACACCGCCAGAGGGTAGGCTGGAAGACGCCACGGCAAAGCCAGAGGGAAGATACTAGCTGAAAGGCAAGGCTAACTGAGGGGCACAAAAACACCGTCCGCGTTAACGCGACAGCAAACCCCCACTCATCTTCCTACAGTAGAGCGGCTCCCGTGCCCGCCCTCAGCCAGCATCCAGGGCTCCACACCCAGCCCTTGTCCTTTCTTCCCTCTGCCCTGGTCCCAGAAGGACCCCTGCTCTGCCACCAGGGCACTGCCTGTCCCCACCGCGCTGGCCCTTCCCACCTCCACTGCCTCGCTCTTGCCTCCCTCGGATGAGCGCTCTCTGAGCAGTACTTCCTCATGCACTAAGTCTGGTTTGGAATTAACCATATACTTACGGTCTTATAAAACCTCCTCTAATACTGTGCTGTTATTTCAGTGTTCACACCTTAGCATCTTAACCTGCTTGGTGTCTGTTACTTATTTTTCACCATTTTTGTGAGCTGGGCTCCCCCCACCTACAACACAGCTTCCCAAGAGCAAGTCCACATCTGACTCATATCTGTGTCCAGCACTGGGCTTTCTTAACTGTCACTGTGGTTTTTATTTCAACACCTACAGCTGTATTATAGAGAGAGGTACACTGACTGTTATTGGATTTTTAATAAATAGGATTTGACTTTAACAACCAGAAAGCCAAAACAGGATTTTTTTCTTCCTGGATTTTCCTTTTTAAAAAAAAAAATAAGCAAATACATTAAGTCAGAGGTTTGTTTTCTTTTTCTTTCAAAACAAACGTAGGGTCAACTGGGATTCCTTTTAAATCTACAATATTTTCTCCATTTTTAGTACTCTGTGTTGATAGCTGAGTTGGCTGACTCAGTTATTTGAATAGTTTTAAAATACCTTCTGAAAAGAAAACTTATATTTGGTTCAGTATAGAATGGTTTTTTTCTCTACTCTTAAATCATCAATAATCTCAGTTAAACAAAATAAGCATAAGTTGTTCGAGCAGAGAGGGATGATCTCATTTCCTGGGAATCTGGAGCAGGCCGAGAGGAGGGCCTGAGCAAGGGCACAGGCTGGGCAGAGGAGCCGTCTGTGGCCTGGGCTGGGTGCAGAGCACTCCCGACTTAACCCCAGGGACAAAGGGCGGCGCCTTTGTGTGACAGCTACCGTGCAGAACACACCTCCCCACTTCACTGCAGCTGCAGAGAAAAGACCAGCACCACCCCGTCCCGACAAGCAGAAGGCCTGGCCCAAGCCTGACTCACGGCTTCTTGTTCCCGGCCATGGGCAGATCTCTGTCCTTGGCCCTGGGCCTCAAATTCCTCACCTGTCAAACAGGCAAAGACCGACTCTCCCCTGCGGCAGACCCAGGTTCTATGGGGCCTGAAGATCATTCAACTCAGGGTGGGAAGTACTATAAGAAAAACTACAAATCTAAGAACACAAATACAAATACAAAACACCCACACTGCTCAACAGGAGGGGAAATGTGAGCGGGAAACTGGCATGGAAAGAGACAGTGGTCTCGGCGGCTTGCGGCTAGCCTGCCAGGATGGAGCTGGAGGCCGCTGAGCCAGGCCGTCAGCCCCATGCCTGCTGGGACGGAAGCTGCTTGAACCTCAAACACAAGGGCCCTTCCAAGGGCCGGGAGGCCCAAGCTGTGTGCCATATATTTTTGTAAATTTCCAAAAGTAAGTGATTTACTTCTAAAAGTAAATGTAATCATTTAAGATTCTCTCCGAGAAAGTGACAGACAGCAAACAATGAAGATACAAATCAATAAACAAAACCTTTACATATGCTATTTAAGAAGGGTACCTCACCTTTGGGGCATTCCTCCCAAAATCCATAACCCCCGTCTAATTATGAAAAACATCAGGCAAACCCCAACTGCGGGATAGTCTACAAAGCATCTCACCAGTACTCCCCAAACGTCTCAGGGTCATTAAAACCCAGGGACGCCTGAGAAACCATCACAGCCTAGAGAAGCCTCAGGAGACAGGCTAAGTGGAATACGGGATCCTGCGACGGAAAATGGACACCCAGTAGAAACTCTGGAAATAGGAATGAAGTATGGACTTCAGTTAACAACAGCGGACGATCTAGGCTCGTGAGCTGTGACGATGCACCACGCTAATGTGCACTGCTAACAGGGGGGGACAACGCATGTGGGGACACGGGAACTCTGTACTGTCTTCACAACCTTCTCTGTAAATCTGAGAATATTCTAAAATTAAAAAAGTTACTTTAAAAACGGTACACAGAAGAACAGCAATTTGCAATCACCCTTCCCTAAGGCGGGAGCTGTGCACATTCGTCCGTCCCTCACCCACACCTGAAGCCCATGGCCCTTTCCTGCAGTCAGCAGGACTGGGGTAGAGTAGAAGGGGGCAGTAATGGGATTATTTAGGTCCCAGGAATTTATTCAAACTCTTAGGGACAAGGGTGCTTATATTTTGAGATATCTACTATATTCTTAAGACTCCTTTCAAGATCCAATTATTTTCTGCTTGGTTTTTTTTTTTTGGTGGGGGAGGATATCATGTGTTTTCATTAATGGAAGCATGCTGAGTCACAGAGTGTGTTTAAATTTTTGGTTGGTAATATCGATTTTGGGAAATATTATCTGGTACTACACGGTTACCACGGAACTTTTAAGTTCTCGAACCCTGTGATTAGCGGCCACCCGTCTGTACCACTGGACCTTGGTTGCTGATGTTTTTCGTGCAGCCTTCCGTTAGGTTACATGAGGAACTTCTGGTTTTCCAAGTATGACACATAAAAACAAAACCAAACCCAGCAGGGCTCCCTAACTATCACACAGGAAACCATAAATGTGCTTACAAGGCTTATCTTGGGGTACAGAAGCCAAAAGACACAAAGTTTTGCCAATCACACTTCCTGGTTACCCTACCTCACCTGCAAGCCTCACACCCTATTTTGCTTCAGCTAACGTTCCTTTCGCCTCTCGCCATTACGCAAGTCCCCGCTGGGGGCCAGCCAATACGTTCAGTGGTGAAATTACACCAGTAAAGAACCTGAGAGCTGGAAAACGTGGGTGGTATACCGTATGTGCCGCGGACCATGAAAGGGTGAAAGGGTTGTCCAGCGTGAGGCTGTAATTTCGAATCTGAAATAAAACTGCTTTAAGTACAGTGTCAATTGGCTCCACCATCCCTGCTCCTTAACGATCAGGCTCGGTGTTGGTTTTAATGTTAAGGTGTACTATCTTAATGATAAATCTACATATTTATAATAAATACCATGAAGTATTTATCACAGGAGAAGGTGACATCAGCTGTTACCCTACCTGAGGACAGAACAAGCAACAAGCTGGACTATATACAAAGCAGAACTTATTGATAATGCAGTGGGAAGACCAGGTTTTAAACTATCTTTGGACATATGGCAAAATATGGAGACAGTACAGAGCGTGGGACAATACCGAAGTTAAGGGGGCTAGGCTTCTGAGGGAATCACAGAGGTTTACACAGATGGGAAGGGAGCTTCAGCCAGCTTTGACACAAACACTTATTTTACAGAAACGAAAACCAAGGCTCAAGGTGAAGAGCTGCCTTGGGTAATGCACCTAGCTGGCTCAAGGGCAAGGCTGGAATCAGAACTTGATCCAAGTCTTTTCCAGCCCTTCCCCCTACAAGATCCCATAATGCCCCTCTGCATTTACTATGGGACAGGGAGGTGACCACACTGTCCACGGGTGCTCCTCAGTCATGGGCGCCAGGGGGGACAGGGAGGAGTCCACACTGTCCCCTGGTGCTGCTTCTGTCGTGGGGACCTGTGGGGGACAGGGGGGAGTCCACACTGT